GGGGTTAGGATAAATTTTCTGATTTGCTTTTTCAAAGCCATACTGCTATAATTTTTAATTTTCTTATTTCTGGTAGAGACTAAGTCACTTGACAAAATGAGAATTAAAAGTAATAGCTAAATTTTTTCTCTTCTAGCCCTTCACCACAAGAAGATGGGCAGATCATGTTTGATGTGGAAATGCACACCAGCAGGGACCATAGCTCTCAGGTGTGTGGGGGGGGATTCTGATTTGCAGCAAACAAGAAAGATGCACATTCTCTAAGTGTGTTTTGCTAAAATATATTAAAGAAAAAGAAGACTTTTAGGAATAGTTTGAACCTGTTACTGAATTTCTGATTTTGGAATTTATTTAGGATGATAATAGTTCTTGCCACACTCCTTTACAACTAAGGATTTTGGGCCCTGTCACTCTAAAAGAATTGGAAAATTTTTGTCTGTAATGAAGCATGCCACTACGCCATGCTAGTTTCTTTTTTTTCTCTTTTTTTTTTTTTTTTTTTTTTTTTTTTTTTTTTTAATTGAGATGGAATCTTGCTCTGTCGCCCAGGCTGGAGTGCAGTGGCATCATCTCGGCTCACTGCAGCCTCTACCTCCTGGGTTCAAGTGATTCTTCTGCCTCAGCCTCCTGAGTAGCTGGGACTACAGGTGCGCGCCACTGTGCCCAGCTAATGTTTGTATTTTTAGTAGAGATGGGGTTTCACCATATTGTTCAGGCTGGTCTCAAACTCCTCACCTTGTGATCCAGCAGCCTTGGCTTCCCAAAATGCTGGGATTATAGGCACTAGCCACCATACCTGACCTACAGGCTAGTTTCTTGAGTTTATAAATAGAAAAAACTGAGACAGAGGCTTTAAGACCACAGAATAAATGAAAGTTAAGGTTGTGTTAGAACTAGGTGTGAAGACTTTTTTTTTTTTGTGCCTGAAACCGAAGCAGTGACTTTTGAGATAAATTTCCAGAGCTAGACATAAAATTTATCCAAATTATGCAGGATTCCCTGAAGATAAATATCGTTTACTAGGAGTTGACATTGTTGGGAACATAGATGGATATCGTATTAAAATCTTACACGTTTGTATTATGAAACTTAAAATATGGAAAGTATATAATTGTTGCTAATGATTTAGAATACTCATAGCGAGGCTTTAACTTGATTGGTAGGTAAGATCACCTAAAAGTGAGGACCAGAACCATTGTCTTTTTCTTCTGCTTGAAAAATAATGAATCTTCAGATGACTTGCAACAAAAACCTTGTTTTGTGGGGTTCTCACTATGCTGTGTCCTTGTCCCTTTGCACTAGAAATATTCTGTGTATCTTAGGTCCACCCAATATTGTTTCTGAAGGCCACAGAATTCCTTCATACTTTGACTATGCTCAGTTTTTGCTTTTCTCTGAAATACTGAAAATGTATGGATTCACACAAATTTATGATGAGCTTTATACTTACAGAGAAGCTCACGACAGCAGGCTGTCGTGTCGTAAGATGATCTGACAGGAGCATTTGAGCTGCTGGCTTCTGCCTGTCAATTTGGCCACGTGCAGTAAGCTCTAGCTGATGTCGAAGAAAAGATATAAAGTCTCCATGGCAGAAAGTGTTTCAAGGAATCCAAGAGAGAAATCACATTCTTTGCTGTGGTCTTTCCTGAAGAGGATTTCTTCAATCCATATATCACCTTTTACACAGAAAGCTTAGATTAGCATTTTCCTTTTTTTTTTTTTTTTTTTTTTTTTTTGGGGGGTCTTTTTTTTTTTTCTCGGGGGGGGCTAAGATACACAGAATGCCGTTTGGCGCCCACCAACCCCCCCCCCC